GGTTCCCAGCCCACATCCGCACCATCTTTGTATGGGCGTCCGATCTAGACACATACTTTTGAAAGTGTGGACAAGCTGCTGTACTCCCCTCGATCTTGCAGACTGCAATTGATGTCCGCTGGAACAGCCATTTGTCGATGCTGGAGAGCATATTGCGCAATCGCATCGTTATTGAGGCGTTACTTCACTCTCAAGACGATGAGGAGCGCATTGCATTGCTTGAGCAGCTCAACCAGAGAGTTACGCGGAGCACGTCGTGGGACTATGTGCTGGCGCTGGTGTCGATCATGGGGATGTTCAACAGAGTAATTGACTTGCTGCAGAGTCGTGACCGCCCGACTCTGCATCTTGTCTTCTACTTTAAGTTCCAACTGCCCCAAATGCTTGATGATATTAAGTTTGCACCTGCGGCAATGAAGCACAATATGCGCGCGGTGATTGCTGGATTGAAAGCAAACATATCGAACAAGTTTATCCCCGATGTCATATAGAGGTTGCGTACCTTTTGCATCCGCTTTCCGAGGTGGTGGCAGCCGACCAGGATGGCGTAAGTGCAGTGACGCTGGCTCACATGGGGAATATGGCTGCGGCATTTCCCAATCTGCTGCACCAAAAGACGGAGACCGGGCTGGATGAGGCGGCCATGGAAGGTGTGCGACTGCCATCGTTCATAACGTTTGTGCCACCGGCCGGCACTTGAGATGGTGAGGGTGCGGCTGATCGACCCGCCGCCGAATCTACGCAAGACATGCTCGAAAATTAGCTGTGTTGCAATTTGGAGAGAAGCTGTCTACCAAAGAAATCCTGGAAAGCTGTCAGTTTTTGAACAATGAGGACAAAGACGCTTACGTGTACTTTGACATATTTGGCTACTGAAAGTCCAGGGCAAGCAAGTACCCACTGCTTGCAAAGCTTGCCTCGTTCCAAGCAGCGCAGAATGCGAGCGCAGCTTTAGCACCGCGCGCTCCATCAAGTCCGTGCTGCGCTCCGCGCTTTCCAGTGACTCCTTGGAAGGCAACGTCGTT